GTTGAGAAAATTATTTATTTGTTATTAGACATTTAGGGTGAAGCCTCTGAACAAAATGTTCCGTCCGAACGAGTCTCAACCTGACTTGAAGTAGGGGTGATACAGATTTCAGGTTTTATCACAATGTTTTGTGGTTCTCTTGTGATGAACGTGACAATAAGAGCTATTTGTTTCTTCTTTTTTAGCTAACTGTATGTTTGCGATTGAGTCACAGCAGTTTTAGCCCCACAAACACAAACACTGCACTTGAAAAACATCCACATGTGTAACAACACGCTTCTTATTGACACCAGTCACATGAAGAAGTGTGATCTGCGACACGAAGCTGCTCACAGTAGCTGCATTGAATCTTATTTTCAAATTTATTGATAGCGCTCATTGAACAAACAGTTGAGAAAATAGATTAAAAATAACAGTGCGGGGAGTTTTTTTGGGGGGGTTAAGCGACATTAATTATAATTTTTTTTTTTTTTGGGATGTTATGGAAATGCATACCATAGACACAGCTGATATCATTACTCAGCTGTGTTCTTCACAAATATTAATAAAAAACGCCGAACTGAAAGTGTTCTTTTACACAGCAGCTTCTCTCATTAGATTGCTGAGCTGCTAAGTTAGCCTCTTTTTGGTGCCACTTGTTCCATTCATCTCTGAAGGTCACTCGTCGAGAGTGCTTTTCTACACTTGAGGGATGCCTGGCACCATTTCTTTTTTTCAAAACAGCCATTCCCAGTTTCCCCTGGCAACCAGACTTATCACCGCTCCGTTCCACACGCCGGACACACCAGAAAAGAAGCACACATACAGGAGTGCGTGCCGTGCACGCTAACATTCCTGGTTGCTGTTCAGAAGTGAGGACGCATTGTGATGACCGAGAAACAAAAGAGCGACTTCTCTGAGGACCAACAGAGACAAACAAGGGGGAAAGGCGGGCGGAACGGCGCAGCCTCTTGTGCATTGTTGCCGACTGAATGCCTACATTTTCTGCTCACATGCACAGACACTGAGCTGCGTGAATGGAGCGTCGCTGTCAGTAATTCAGGAGTCGTCGTCTCCACTTAACAACGGAGGAAGAAGGCTAATATCATTAGTTTTGTTACCAAATGAGGGGGAGGGATGACAAAAACACGCCTGGTGCTTAAAAACCTCGTTTGTTTTGAGACGTTTTTAAGACTTTCCTTTCGGCTCTCAGGTAGATCAGGTGCTACTGAAAAGTCGGTTAACAGAAGAACGAAAGCAACCGATAAATTCGAAGAGTTTCATTTCAAAAACACTCTTATCTCCAAAAAGTCGCTGTCAGTGGTGACGCTGTGGGCAGGAAGGTTCTCCAGTAGCAGTCACAAATCTGAACAAGCCTCTGACTGGAGATTGTTGCTGCGTGTCCGCTGACACGCAGCAAAGACGATGTTCTATGCTGACAAAAAGAGAAAGAAGGATCAACTTTTAAAAGATTGTGTTCATTGGGCTCAAGAGATTGAATGAAGTTTGAAAACTTAATAAGTTAACTTGGATAAATTGAATTGAATTACTTACGACCAATATATTTAAGTTGGATCGCCTATTTTCTTTTTTCAGCGTGTCCTGAAAGTTGTTGGCGCCGCTAATCCACCTCATTTGCTTTTGCCACTCCTCTTTAAATCTCTTATATAATTTAAAATATATCAGCTGCTTAAGATAGTTTGAAATGTTAACGATGTGATTCTTTTGCCTTTGTTTGAAAATAATAGAAGCTCTGACGCTCACATATAGTGATGTCACATTTGTTTCCTGTATTTAAAAAACTGACTTGACCTCTGACAGCATTGATAAACATGTTTATTTGAACCGACTTGAGAAAATGACTCTAATTTTGATTTCAGAATTATAGCTCGAGTAAAACTAATAAAATTTGCTCCAAAATAGAGTAGGTTTTGTAAATTGTTTTTTTTCTTTTTTTTTTCCGTGTAGAAACATATTTTGAAGTTCTAGAGAAGAAGTCTGAATTATTTTTGGGAGGAAAAAAAAAGCAGAGTGTAAATCAGCCGTATGGCTCTGATTGGTGCATCTACGTTTGTGTCAGTAGGGAACTTTTACAAACACAGCCACAGTGCAACCAGAAGGTAAAAACTCTGAGGATCACAAGAATTTTAATCCTTACTCCCCAATAAACTGTGGCTCTCACCAGGCAACCGGCCTGCAGGCCCAGAGGGTCCAAAGTGGAGGAAGATGTCATAAACGCCGCGTCACACAGGGGAGTTTTATGTAACCCTGCTCTGCCATATGTGCGTTCACACATGATTTCCTCCTGGTTTGCACTGCACAGCTTGTGACTTTGCTATCAAACAGACCAAGTGTTCTTCAGGAGGCTTAAATGTGTTGCTTAGAAATAGATTACTATATTTTTTTTGAAAGTTAGTTTTTTTTCTCTAAGTGGCGCTGTCTCTTTCTAGGCCGTTTGGTGTTTGTTTATAATCAACCGTGTTTTCTGATCGGGGTCTTCTGAGACACGATGGCAACATGTGGCTTTAAAGCAGATGGTTAGCAAGTGACCTCCAGCATGCAGAATGAAAAGCTAACACTGACACACACACACACACACACACACACACACGGTATGGTGTTTACCTGCTGTTTTCCACACTTTCAGGAGAGCCTCAGGTGGAGCTTCAGACATGGCGCTGGTAAGGAAGCCAGGGGTTTGTTATGTGTGCGAGTGTGTGTTTGTGCTGCTGGGTAGGTGGACTACACACTCCCACATTTATCCCAATTATTGTCACAAAGGGAGTGTAATTTAGAGAATGGACCTCCAGAGCAGCTGAATCTGTGCCTTCAAATTATTGTAAATAGTCATTCTTGAACTGCATGTTGGGAAATCAGTGATCTCTATGAGGGAGACCGAGACAAAACACAAAACCACAGGCAGATATGGTATTAAGATTGTTTATTGACTAAAGATTAAAAGATGTCAATGAAGCTGAAAAATTAAAGGGGCAGTGTTATGTAAAATCCATTTTTATTTTTAGCTTTACAACTTGTTATAATGTTATTCCCTTGTCAAAAACATTGAGATTAATATCTCATGGCAACCATTCAGCTGTGCAAAACGCTTGGTGGAACCTAGCCCCGCCTTCGAGGACGAAGCTCCTCCTCTGAGCTGCAGTTTCCAAGCTTCCGCCTCACAGAACAGCTCCTTCAGACTAGCCAGCAGCGATTAGCAAACACTAGGTGGAGCTGAACATCCTCCAAGCTCAGTGATTTTGCTGAAGCACTAAGTATTCAACACATTCGGTGATGTGAAAAAAGTGTTTCCATTGCAGTTTTGCTAAGTACATCTATTTTGATGCCATCGAAAAACCACCTCATCCTAGCGACGAAACTTTTTATCAAAAAACGTATTTTTTTACGAAACTGTCCGCTAAGCAGATTTGTTTTCGTACTTTCAATTTGCGTCATTTTATGGTCAACGGCTAGTGTTTCTGTTCTCACTGCTGTGCAAAAAGGGAAGCACAATCCAGAGAGAAGTAGCAATGAATAAGTGATGTAGCGATGAACGGAGGCTGAATCAGGCGGCCCGTCTCCAGGGAGCGTCCTTTAAACGCGCACTAATGATCTCCGCCTGCCAGGACATTTCTGCCACAAAGGGCGGACGCAGAGAGAAGGTTGGCAGGAGGGAAGAAAGCTGCCAACTCTAGAAGGTGTGAGTGGGCTGGAGTTAAAAGGAGTTGGAGGAAAAGAGGGAGGGAAGACAGGAGGAAGGTGGGGGCTCCTCATCCTCTCTCTCTCTCTCTCTCTCTCTTTCTCTCTCTGTTGGCTCAGAGGCACCGCTGGGCCGAGGAGGGAAGGCGACGGAAACGCTTCCCTCTCATTTCAGCCACAGCACCGTCCGTCCGTCCATCTTCCCTGGCTCACAGCATCCTTGCCTCTCTCTCTCCAGGTGATCACCCCGTTCCGTAGGCTCATCCTCTGCGCCGAGAACAGGAAAGAGATGGAGGACTGGATCAGTTCGCTCAAGTCCGTCCAGTCCAGGGAGCATTACGAGGTAAGGGGCACTTTCTAAATAAGATCCGAGCCTCTTCCCCCGTCCTGGGGTTTCCAAGACTCAGAGCGACAGCAGATCTGACGTTAAGGCGTGTCCTCTCCGCTCGCGGGACGCTTCTTCGGTTGACAGTTGAATATTATCGGGGGGGAAAAAACGGGATGAAAGCCGTAGCTTGTTGCAGTGAAATCTGGTTTGGTGTGTGGAAGTTCAAAGATATTCAAAGTGTCACATGGATCTGGTGTGCTCACATGTGCATAAACTATGTGGGGAACAAATAAAAAAAGGATAAAGGCGTCAACAGTAAATTTAGTTTTCCAGCTGCAGCCTCACTGGATCCCATCTCCAGCAAACTTGCAGCACAACAGTTGCGTCCTATCTGAGGAGTTTCTCTGCACACACACACACACACACACACTCACACACACACACACACAAAGAAAAAAAAATCAAGCCCCCTTGTGCGGAAATCCCTGCTGTCAACAGAGATGTGAGCGCTGACGGTGACAGGTTGTGGCGCGCTCAGGGCCGGGGGACAGGAGCACAGGCGCGCGGCGGCTCTTATTTCAGAGGGGAAATCTTATATAAGACCCCCCCTCACTGCACCGCAGTGCAGCAGCAACCCCAGAGCTGGCTCGCCACGAGGAACACACATGTACACACGCGCACACGACACACACACATACACACACCAAGCCAAGCTGCACGGACCAGACAGGCTTTGATTTAAAAGTGGTGCTGTGAGGATGTCCCATTTAGCAGCACCTGTTACAGTTCCACTTTACAACAAAATAAAAAAAAATAACAAACTGGGATGGGGGGTGGGCTGCGCCAGCTGCTGCAGACGCAACGCCCACGCTGGAACGCTGCGCCGCTCGCATCACCTCTGCTGTGGTCCCCAACCTCCACATGCACAGAAGCTTCCAGGGGTCCGGCCGCTCCTGCAGAATCACGGATCACACACGTTCAGGAGTCCTGATGGAAACGCTGCTAATATCAAATTCCAGGCCTTGGGGCCAAATCCAGCCCACCGTACCTTTTTCTGTGACCCTCTAGATTCTGAGACATGTAAAGAGGACTTTCAAGATAACAGTTGTGTGCTTAACTAATATTTCATCAACCAAATCAAAGTAGTTTTTAGCCGTTTACTGCCAATTTACATCAATCATTCCCTCCTGTTTTTGTGATTACGCAGTCATGGAAAATCATGTAAAATCAACAGATCCCCACACTTTGTAGCGCTGAATTTATTGTAGATTTTCTGAAAAAATTGTCAAAAACTTTGGGTCTAAGTGTCTGCTTACTAAGGGTGGGCATTATGGACTTGATTTTTTCTCACAGCATTATGTGGAATTATTGTGATAACAATAAAAGTGACGATAAGAACGATTTATTTCTTCTTTGTCATGTAAATCTGGTTATGGATGTGACTACATGGCACCGCAACCTTAACTCCAACAGCACAACTGCTCTTAGAAAAAAAAAATTAATATGTTTCTTTAGATCATTAGTCACATAAAAATGTGTGATTTGTATCACTAAAACGCATTTTTATCATATTTTAAAATTGATTGACATTTATTGATACTTAATGAAAAAATATGTGGAGAAAATAGCCAATCTAACAATCCCTACTATACTGATAGATTTGGGGGGGATAAATAAAAATTCTTATTATGATCAGAAATTTATCATGATACATGATAAATGATAAACGATACGATACATGCCAGCCCCTGCTACGTACTCCCACCTGCAGATGGCAGTATTTCCTTCTTCTGCTACTAAACTACTGCCTCAGCCTCACTTGGTCTCATGTATGGGACAAATTTCACAGCAGTTCTTGCAAATATTTCTAAATTAGCACCACAAGACCTGTGATTTTGATTACAGAAAACAAACAAACACAAAAACAATCTCAAAATCCTGGAGGGACTGATGACTGTGAAAAAGTGTTCATTATTATTTACATATAAGTAGTACTTGTCAAATGCATGCACAGCTATTTATTAATATTTTAACAGTTTGCTACTGGGTTTTATTATTACATTCTGGCACAACCAGCCCTTTGAGAGCATTCATGATCTTGATGAAAATGAAAATGACTTTGACTCCCGTGTTCTAGTACAACGTTTTTCTTGATTGAGATGCAGTTATTATCTTATAGGAAATACTTAAAAGTAAAGAAAGAATTGACAGAAGCTGAGTTTGTTTGGAATTGTTTCACTTTTGTGTCAGAACTTCATGCTTTGTGATCTTGGAACACTGTGTGTGTTTTTTTACTGCCTGTTCTCATTCTCAGCTTGTCTGGACACCCGGTCAGGATTCTGTTCCATTTCTTCTCAAAGGTCTAGAAAATCTGAGTTCTGCCTTTGAAATCCAACATGGCTGCCTGCCACAAATCTAAAACATTGTAAAAGTTGCGTCATTTCATGCAGTAGCACACACTAACACACTCATAGGTAACAGTTTAATGGATGCAAATTCATCCTCGTTATCAATATTATTACAGATTTTTGTAAATGATGGTGATTGATTCCACTGCTGCTAGTCCTTGAAATCTGAAAGGTTAGTAAGACATGAAATAGAGAAACTTTGACCATTTCAGATTGTCCATGTTTCCTTGAAAAGTCTTTAAAAGTCTTCAATTTATGTATCTAAAATTAAGGCCTTAAAAAGTTAAATGTCACTTGGCCTTAAATACATCAGTCACATGTCTTAAATGTTGTTGTAGCAGGACTTTTTAATCTAGTATATGTAGTTTTCTGTCTGGCAAAAGTTTGAGCTACTGCTAACTAGATGCTAACATCTAGTTAGCGGTAGCTATTTATGTTTTTTGGATCTGTCATGGGTAAGTGTAAGTTTATTGCCAGTTGACTGGACGTTTGTTTTTGCCTCTGGCTCACTTGCCTGTGCACATTCTGTGCACAAAATGTCTTTTAAACTCGGCACCATGGGGGTTTAGGTTTTAGGGAACATTGAAGTGTGAAAAGCACAAAACTGCTCATAACAGCCACATACATTTCCCATTTCCAGAAATGTCAAAAGTCATGCTTTTCTTGATTGTAATTCTTTCGGTCTTAAATTCAATTCAATGTGTTGTTAAAAAGGTCTTTAAAAAGCCTTAAATTTGACTTGCATTGTTTAAACTCGTCATTTGAACATCTAACTAACCGCTATGCTACATGGCGCCCTTCACTGGTCGAAATATCTCAACTTTATTATGTGGTTCGTTTAAAACGTGTGGATTTTAACGTCGTTCAAAATCTTTATGCGGTCGACTGAAAGCAGCCGAAGAAAGATAAAAAAAAATAATCGGAGGTCCACTATGTGTCAGCCTGCATTATAAGATGTAATTTAGTGCTTGCACGACCAATACGTCATTGTGTGCTGCAGCTCGCTAACTAGCGACACTCCGCTGCAGAGCAGCTCTCTGTGCATCAGACGGTGATGGGAAAGTGATGGGAAAGGAGCAGCCCATGCGTTAAAACTGAGGGGAGGGTGGGGGTGTTGGCAGAGTGTCGCCCCATGACAAGCTGGGAATGTGAATGTGTTGATTGTTATCACTTAGTGCACTGTGCTTGCTCTTCTCTGACTGTTTTTTTCTCAGTGCTGCCAACCTGTTTTAACTTCTCCTTTGTCAGACGGCACAGTTTAATGTGGAACATTTCTCAGGGATGCACAACTGGTACGCCTGCTCCCACGCACGGCCCACCTTCTGCAACGTCTGTAAAGACAGCTTGTCTGGGGTCACATCTCATGGCCTCTCCTGCGAAGGTAAACACCACAACACCTCACATGCTGACACTCGACAAAAACAAAGTAGGGTTATTGCTTTCTGTCTTTTTTTGTTTCAAACGTGCATATTTTGTCACAGAAGGGTTTTTGGGGGAATGTTTTGCACAACACGAAGAGTCTCGGCTGAACTGTGCAGTCTTAAAGGAGCAGTGTTGTGTAAAATCAACTTTTTGGAGCTTTAGATCATTTTATAATGATGTATATTATAATATTGTGATTCTTTCATGCATGCTTCAGAAATTCTCTATTCAGTGTCATGACATAGTGTTTTACAATGTTTTACATATTAATATATATGTAAAACTTTTTTTTTTTTTACAAAACTTTCATAGATGCATTAAAAAAAGTAAGTTGGCCTTAAATATGTCAATCACTGGTCTCACATTTTGTTGTGGCAGGACGTTCTGATCTCGGATGTGTCGTTTTCTGCTAGACAAAAATTTGAGTCACACACATACGTCTTCATCGCGCTTGAGGCTGCTGCTAACTAGCTGCTGCTAACTAGCTGCTAACATACTACAGCTTTAAGGGTGTGAATACTTTTGTGAGGCGGTGTATTTTTGGCAAATGACATTCCAGACCTTCGTCATCAGTCTATGCACCAAAAGATTTAGTATGAAAAACGCAGTCGGCGGTGTCCAGTAGCACTACAGTGTCCATAATAGATTAGTCTTTATTGGGCCCTGGAAACACCACTTCAATTTCCATACACAAAAATGAAGACTCCCAAATTACCCATAATGCTACCTTGCTGGTTACGAATGTCATGTTCTGTCGTTGTAAACTCAGGATCAGCTAACAAACAAAGCCCTCCTGCAGCCAAAGCAATAGTTGACTGCAGGAGGGCTGAGCAGCAGCAAACATGTTGGCTAACAAACTGACTCCTCTTAGTGGCTCATTTTGGCATCAGATCTTTAAGGACGGCCAAGCTACTGACCCATAGCTACTTTGGCAAGGTCACTGCTGCACAAGACCTTTCAAATCACAAAGAGGAAGAAGGTATTTATATTTTTGCTAAAGTCTGCAGGAAAGCAGCACATTAGGTTTAGTGAAGCCAGCGGTAACCCTGGCAGCGCTCTGGGCTGTGGAGCGGGATGCCTATCACAATCACGGCTTGAGGTGCAGGAGCAGGAAGGTGCCGGCATTAAAACTAAACATGCCGTGCCGTATAGCTTTCATGTCATACTGTGTGTTAGGTAATCATTGACTCGGTTTCTCTTTTAGCATTCACACCATGCCCCTTTGTCATTAGCGGAGAAAAAACTGCTAATCTTGTGGCTGACGTCATCCCTCTTCACCTTCTCTGTGAAGGAAAGTGTAAGGTGAGGTGTTGAAGGGAATCAGGCTAACAAGACCACGTAACACCAACCCCTTTCTGTTGGTTGGTGTTACGTGGCATTGATGCGCAGCAGAACATTATGATACCCATCGGCATGTTCCTCATGCTATTTTAGCTAACTTTTACCTGTGAGGTGTAGGAAGGTGCATCCATCCAGTATTATGGATGGATTTGGGGTGGAACCCTCCATGCATGGTTAGTAGCTTCCGAGTCTTAACATCCGTGGCCTTCATCTCTTCCATTGGCCAGGCAGGGTATCTGATTACTGGTAAGGCATCTCAGGACTTGCCTTATTCGTTGGAGGTATTTGGCTGTGGCTCCTTTCCTTGTGACCTCATCGAGGTTGCCATTTGCTTGCTGTATTCCCAGGTACTTGTAGCTGTGCTCTATGTCTGCTATTGTTCCTTCTGGGAGTGATACCCCTTCTGTGTGGACGACCTTCCCTCTCTTTGTAACCATCCGGCCACACTTCTCTAGTCCGAATGACATCCCAATGTCAGTGCTGTAGATCTCTTGGCGTACAGCTTGATGTGACTGATTGTGGCCCCATTCTTAAGTCGGTATCCGTAAGCATTCAGTCTAAGCATTCAATGAACTGTGTGGTCTACAAGTAGTTGGTGTTCTTCTGTGTCGTGCTCATGTATTTATCCATGTGTCCGCTTATCTTAGCCGCTATGATGCCTGACATGAGCTTCCATGTTGTAGAGAGACAGGTTATTGGCCGATAGTTGGATGGGACTTCTGGATCAGGATTGTGCGCCCTTCAGTTAACCCATTCAGGGTGAGTATTCCAGTATTGTTCAGTGTCCAGCCTTGGTGGGTCTGCCCTCCTTGTTATTGGGTCTCATGGTTGCTCTTATAGCCGAGCATTTCAAGGATCACTGATGCTGAGTTGTATATCAGCTC